CTTGAGCCCAGGAGTTGGAGGTTGCTGTGAGCTGTGATGTCATGGCACTCTACCCAGGGGGACAGCTTGAGGCTCTATCTCAAAAAATAAAATAAAATAAAATAAAAAAATAAACGTGGTGTTTGGGTGCTCTTTCTCTCGGTTGGGCCTCATCTTCCTACAACAATATTGCAACATAGGAAAAAATAGTTTTAAATAACAACAGCTTAATTGGGTTTGAATGCTTAATAGAATGAGAGTAATATGCTTAAACTGTCATGGAAACATGGATTGTTTAGGTATCTGTACTTGCCTATATGTTCTTTATGGTTAATTGCTTACTATACTTTAGACATTACATTTAATAATTATTACGTAGCTGCCATATTTAAATTTAACTATAACCTCCTTAAGAACCCGTCAATATTTGCTTCCTCATAGCCTTTTTGTTTAATTAAGTTCATACTTTTGCTTTATTAAAAATGGATGCATGTATAATACCACGGCTTCCTTTTATACAACTCTCTGAGACTAGGGCAGCTTTCATATCAGAGCAGGGATACAAGTGAGCAGGGTGTTGAGGCATATACTGCAGTTTGCTGGGGACAAGCAGGAATGTCAGTGGGTCTCAAATGGTAACAGCAGTGGCTCCTCAAGAGACTGTAAGGATAGGTTGTCAAGTGAACTGCCTTGCACCTCACATGTTGAGGATTGCTGCTGCTTGCTCTAATTAGCAATGATGCTAGCCATTAGTAAAGAAAGCAAGCCATATGTAAAAAAAATACATTAGGCTCAGCACCTGTGGCTCAAGTGGTTAAGGCGCTAGCCACATACACCTAAGGTGGCAAATTCAAATCCAGCCCAGGCCCACCAAACAATGATGGCTGCAACCAAAACATAGCCGGGCATTGTGATGGGTGTCTGTGGTCCCAGCTACTTGGGAGGCTGAGGCAGGAGACTCGCTTGAGCCCAGGAGTTGGAGATTGCTGTGAGCTGTGATGCCATAGCACTCTACCCAGAGGGACAGCTTGAAGCTCTGTCTCAAAAATAAAATACAGTAAAATAAAATAATGGTTAAAAAAAATTTGGGAAAAAAAGAAATACATTAAATCAATATTTTTTCCTCCAAGACTTAAGGTAATTCAGAGTGAGTAAAAATTAGCTCAGATTAAGACTGTAAATATCTGCTTGGCCATTAACTGGGCTGGGATAATAAACAGATAAAACCTGCTGCAAAGTAAATAGGAAATAATATTTCTTCTCAGGATATACTGAAGCTGTAAAGTGTAATAACATCTGTCATCTTTGAGTGTTTATTTCTGATTCACTGAAAAAAAAATCGTTCTAAAATCATACACAATAAGGATGTTGCTGCTTAAAATGGTCAATGAGAAGGAAACACCCCATTCTTGCTTGGAAGCTCTAAGTCACTTTGATACAGAGAAGCAGCCTTAATTGAATGGGCTCCTGAATACAATATTACACATCCATAGTAACTTTGTAGTTTCCAAGAAACAAGATCTTGATACTATTCCACTGTCCCCATCTGATGTTGACTCTTGACAACAGGATCCTGAGACTGTTCAATAGTCCATACCTGATATTGACCTGCTTTGAGTCTATTAAAACACCACTTCCTTTAAATTTCACTTAACCTCATCCTTGCCTAAAATTCTGTAAATCTTTCCATTTCTTTGGTTACTGAGACATTGCCTGGTTTCCTTCATTGGAATAAGTCAATAAACCAACTTTGTCAGAGTATAGTTTGACAGATTTTTCTCTGATGGTCTTGATTGGGTTGAGACAGAGGGGTGTCAAAGCCTGTCAAGGTTCAAGTGAATGAAGCAGACCTTGGGGACCATAAACATCTGTAATAAAAGTAGAATTCAATAGCATGATGTTATATGAACCAGAAATGCCACAAAAAAGGCCCAGCAGTATTTTACCCACTAGCCTAACTTGTGTGTTTGTCACCAGAAAGAACCAGGGTTCCTTAAAGTGCAGTTAATTCCACCAGTATGACAGGGAAAAAAAAAAGTCAAGATTGGCCTGGAATCTCTTGTGGCTAGAAATAAAGTTTCAAAAAGCAGATCCAGACTTTAAAAAGGAGAAGGCTTCCATGGACCATATTGGGACAATTTGAGCATCAAAAGGTAATTATGAAAGTAACTTTTGGAAGTTGAAACTATAACGATAGTCCAGAATGGAAAGATAAGCCACACAAAGTATATGACAGAATATTTTTAATTTTAAAAATTAATTTCAATACATATATGAGCTTTCTGTATACATCCACAGTAGGGAACTGAACAATTCTGCCCATGGAAACCACGGATTCCAGGAAGAGGCGATTAGTGCCTATGAGCATATGCACAACCAGCCTAGGGAGCTCCAGCACTGTTCCAAGATGAAATCACTGACTGGCCCTACATAATCAGCTCCAGCCTCCTGGGAGCCCCTCCTGATAGTGATGTGATGCTAACAGGGCATGTGACATTTCCCAGTGATGTTAACAGACCAGATATCTCTCTAATATATAATGACATGAGAATGTTAAATTCACCATTCGACCCTATTAATTTTGGGGAAAGGTTATGCTACAGAGGGTATAGGCTGCTGGTTATCTCAGAATCTTGCCTCTCTGTTTCTGTAAGGGCTGAATTGCCTTTACAGTTATTTTTAACCAATCCACGTATCTTGAACATCATTTTGCCAGTGAATTATTTCTAATAC